TGAATAACCCAAATTTAATATCTACCGACTAGTGTCAATACTGGAATTGCTCAATGGCCCTCAGACCGTATTGCTCACAAGACCATCAATTTCTTGCTCAGAACGGTGAAGTTGATGGGAGAGCTCTGATCATCGTCGATGGAATGGATGAAAGACATGCAAGGTTCTGGTCTAAAAAGTGTTTGGAAGAGAAGCAACTCGATCAGGGTATGCTCTGTGGTATTCCTCTGTTTCCTGAGCAAGTTCTCCTCAACCTCCCGTGGGTGCAAGACCATGTGTTTGATCGAAACCTTAGAGATGGGGAAGCGGTGAGAGAATGGCTTTTCAGATCAGTTGTTTCTCCTCCTCAACAAAATCTAGGTCAATATCACAGCATCTGGCAGGTTTGTTCTGCTTATCTTTCGTTTCAACGATCAAATGTTTCTGTTATACCACTTCTCATCTCTGATCTGCAGTGGCCATGGAGGTGGAACTGTTCTTGCTCTAAGTGAGTTCTCGAAGGCATGTTCTTGGTCTAATGTTGATGCTCAAAGCATAGTGCAGCCAAACTGTTGGGCTTTAACCGAAAGCGAGGTAGGAATAGGCAGTTGTTTTGGGCGTTCTCAACAAGGAGTCTTGGAATCTACTCACAGGTGATATTGAAAATTCACTTCTAGTTCATATCATTAGATCCATCACATTAAACTCAAGCTTATTTTCTCGCTTTCTTCTGGTTTCATTCAGTGAGCCCTCTTGCCTGAAGATGAAGGTTTACAAGAGACAAAAGTTAGTAAATAGAACGGCAATGAAATCTGAAACGAAGCCAAAACGAAGACAAAGGGTCTCTCTATCTCTTTTTTTCCTTTCTTAGATACCATGGTTTGGCTCTTTATCTTTTAGGAAGTCTGAAATCTTAAAACCTTTCCTGTTTTTTGGTTTTGTTGATTTAAAACGGTTATGTCATGGTCAGTCAAGCACTCTACTTATTGCATGTGTGAACACATTCATATATGTGCATTTGCTAAAATCTTAAGCATCTATTCGGACAAAATGTTATCCGTGAATGCTACGCAACTCTAAAACATTCGTAAGCAACTCCAAGTGTATTTTTAGGTTTGCTTCAACGCTTTGAAGTTAACAAAAAAAAAGAATTAAAGCAACACATTTTTTCAATAGATTTCTTTCATAAATTGAATTAACAGAGTTGGGGAACGACTAAACCACTGGTGTTACAACACCCTTCCAATATTGTGGTTTGTTTTAGGCTTTTGTGTGTTTCCATTTTGTTTTATTGGTGGACGTTTCCTTTTTTGAACTGAATTGTTGTTCCTCTTTCTCTGAGCTTAGTAACAGAGAGCATTGACGTGTTAAGTCTTACTGGAATATTAAATACTCATTTAGGACAAGAAAAGAGGCCTGCAAGAGCAATGAAGTAAATTATGAGTTTAATGTTACAGAAAAGTAGCTCCCTACAAAGAGCAATGCGACATGAAGCAATTTATGAGTTTAATGTTACACAAAAGTAGCTCCCTACAAAGACCAATGCAACATGAAGCAATTTATAAGTATAAGCTAGTTGAAATATGCGACTTCGGTCTTGCACTTGGATCCAACTCCAAGAAGCGTCGCTACATCACTATGGGTTTGCCGCAGCTTGGCAACATCAACCACAACACTTTCCGGGAACTCCACTCGCACTTGTTCAAGGCATTCCGTTCCCCCCACAAGAAAACTCTTCAATTGTTCCAACTCTTTACTAGTTCCTTTATAACCAACAACATCCAACACCTTCACTTGGAACAGACGGATGGTAACATCGCCTGTGTAACCATCCAGACCCTGGAGAAGCATCAATCGATCAAGAAGATGCATGTAAAAAGACCGCGTCGCTGTACGTTATATTCGTTCAGAGTGTTTTGCTTATTGAAAATATACCTGGATGATTAGTGTTTCAACCTTTGGAGACTGCTTAAGCAGATATGGCAGCAGCTTCCAACCTCGTTCGTTGTAATTTCCAAAGGATAACTTAACCAGATTGTTGAACACCGGTAGAATCAGTCCATCTTCAACACATCGAGAAATCACCTGAAACAAACACACGCACACGCCACTTCAAGAATTGTTCAAGCTCTCTTTACAAAGTTTGAAACAAAGAAATTGGGAAAACTTACATCAACAGAATTGGGAAAAAGATTCAGGGTCTCGACATTGCTTATCCCTATGATGAGACCCGATAAATCCGGCTTCTCAATCTTTTCAGAATAATAAAGATCAAGAGTAGCTTCAACAAGGGATTGGAAGTTAACATGCGGGTACGCAGACAGGCATAATCGGTGTAGTCAAGGGAGACAAGACTTGGTGCATCAAATGACATAAGAGCCCAATCATCAATTCCAGACTCACAAGTATAGTAAACTGTTAGCTTCTTGATGGTCCAACTCGATATGCAGTATGGGTAAAGATTATCCTCGTGACAAACAGTTAACTCCTCGAGCACTGGACAACCAGGAAGAAACACATCGCAAAGATCTTTATATTCAAACACAACGGAATCGATGAAGAGACTCTTAAGCGCTGGAAGACACACATCCGGAGGAAGCTTTCCAAGATCGATATGTGTTCCCAGCGACAGCTTAACCAGTGTCTTGCTCATGCAGAGCTGAGAAGGCAGACAAACTTCCTCGTGAGGCTCAACATGTATTGGGACACCATTTCCACGAGGCGGTAAGGGTTTAAAGCGGTGCTCCATACTAACGTCCACTTCCAAAACACCACGCTCTACGGCATTGCATATCCAGCCGCACACATAAGCCATATTGCTGTGCTCGTCAATGTGATATTTTAGAGAGAACTTCTTGCTAGGAGAACCGCATTGCAAAGCGAGTGTTCTATCCACAAAATTGTTGAAGCTCTCCCGGATCACATCACTTGCTTCTTTACCTTCTTCCGGTTGCAGCAAGACAGAATCATCAAAATCCAGATTATGCACCAGGGCAAACACATACCTCCACTTTTTCGAGAGAACAGATGTTGAAGCAGCAACTTTGGTCGGAAGTAAGGACAAGATTTGGCCTAGAAGCTCTTCAGGGAGATAGCTGATTGCATCTCTCTAGCCAGTTTCAGAACCAATCTCTTCGTTAAAAGTGCCTGAAAGATGAAATGCGCTCAGATTGATTCAACTGCTGGATAAACCACAAACCATAAGATCCAGCTTAGCAAGCAACTAGAACAATAAGGCTGAATTAACAAAGTTTCATAGAAATAACAAGGTTACAGAAGCTAAAGGTTCAATTTTTTATCACTTTTCTGAATTAAATTAATGGAACAGAGTAAATCATATGGAGAAAACAGAGGAAACCATACGGAGAACAGTGTAAACCATAAGGAGAGAACAGAGTAAACCATACGGAGAGAACCAGAGTAAATCATACAGAGAGAACCAGAGACCACAGAGAAGATCAACATCAATGAGGAAAACAAAACAAAAAGAGGGAATAGAAACTAAAGCTTCAACCTTTTCGTTTTTTTTTTTCGATTGAATTTGAATTGAAGGTTGTACCTGTCATATGAAATTGATGATGGGATTCTCCGATTCAGATTTTAGGGATTTCTCTTTCCAGATCTACGGTCTAACATATGGAAGGTGGAGAAGAG